CCAAGACGGTGCAGTTTAGTGGAGACGCTGCCGCGGCGCTGGGAGGAGGTGCAGCCGGCAAGACCACGCCGTTTGCACGGCGCGCCAACGGGAGCAGCACAGGCGGAAGAGCGACCGGCGGCGGCACGGGAGGCACCGGTCGGCCGCGCAGCACCGGCGGCTCCCTCTGCGACCAGACGCCCACTGCCAGCACGCGCGCCGCCCCGCCGCCGCAAGGGGCAGCAGCGGCGCTCGAGGAGGAGCAAGAGGAGAAGCAAGAGGAGGCTGCTGTCCCGCCCCCCGCCCCGCCTCCCGCCGCCCCGCCTCCCGCCGCCGCGACACCTGCCGCCCCGCCGGCCGCGGCTCGAGCTCCTCTCCGGCGCGCCTCGCGCAAGGAAGGCCCAGCGCCGCCCGCCGCACCGCCCGAGCAAACAGCTCCGGTCGGCGCGCCACCTGTCTCGGACGGGTCGCCTGGCAAGACAGCGCTGCCCCGGCCACACCAGCCGCCCGCCTCGGCGTGCACGCCAACGAGTGCTGGCGGCGCGCCCGCGCCCGCGTCTCTCCTGGCGGCGCAGCCGCTCGCAGCGCCGACTGCCGGCGGGGCGAGCGTGGCAGCCGCGGGCGGCGAGGCGGGTGCTGCCGCCGGCGGTCGGGCGGCGCCGTCGCGGCGCGAGGAGCTCGAGGCTTGGCGGCGAGAGCGCGACGCAAGGCGGGAGCGCGAGCGTGCGCAGAAGGGCGCCCGGGGCGCCCGGGGCGGAGGCGCTAGGCTTGTCTACGATGGCCCTCCCTCGCCTCCGTCTGCTCACCCGCTTGCGCGTCGCGCCTGTAGGCGCCGCAAGGTCGGGCGACGTGCTGCAGGTGCTGCAGCAGCACAACGCGCGCGTCAACAAGCAGGGGATTGCAGCCGCGCAGCAGCGTTTGCGCGAGCACAAGGCGCCTCAGGCCGCCGCGGCCCAGTTTTGCGCCGCGGGGGAGGCGACGCGGGCGGCGGCGCCCGCATCGACGCAAGGAGGCGGCGACGAGAGCGACGAGCAGTTGCTCGCGCTCCTCAAGCAGCACAACGCGAAGGCAGCTTGCTCTGTCGCTAAGGGTGGACCCGCCCCCTGCTCCCGCCTCACCCGTGCTTGCGCCTTTAGGTGGGAGGAGAGCCACGCAAACGCGTCGAGAGCACAAAGGCGTCCGTGACGGCGATGCGGGCGTGGGAGTCGCGGTCGGGCCGCACTTTCGCCTCGCTCTCGTACGAGGAGCGCGTGGCCGCCAACGACGAGATTCGTCGACATCAGCAGCTTAAGGAGCAGCCGCCCGCCAGGCAAGCTCCGCCGACCAATTTGCTTGACTGATGTCGCTTCGGCGCTTTGGGTTCGCTGCGCACGCTCGGGGCGAGCAGTTGCCCCGCAGGTGCTGTGTGTGAGATGCCGAGAAGATGCAAGGCGGACGATTGGCTTCTAGAGCCAGCAGAGATGATGTGTGAGGTGAGAGGTGTGATTCGGCGTCGGCGGTTGGCCCCGGCGCCTACGCGGCCGACAGGGGACAGCACGCGGCGAGCACCAGCGGGCCAGGCTGTGTGTCGTTCGCCTTCTTGCGTGCGCGGCGCGGCGGGTGTTGGTTTTGGGGTGTGCGCGCACTCTCTCTGCTCTGACTCTCGTTTGCTCTGGGATTGCCCTATATGCGGATATTTAACAATACTCAGAGTCAGCATCGTCCATCGCGAGACGCGACGTACCGTGGGTGTACTCCGATCTCCGTAAAGCCGTACGTGACGCTAAAGCCGTACACGACGATCGAATTTCGAGTATCGACGATTCGTCGTCCCTATAGATTCGCGAGTGTGCGCGCGTTCGCTCGTCCGTGTTCATTCACCATCAGGGTACAGGCGGACATCTCACAGCTCACAGACACAGTGTGTTTTTTCACACATCACTCACATCACACAGCTCACAGGTCACACAGAGCACACCTGGGACGCGTTCCTGACTACTGACGCCGGTCACACGGCACACGCGCGCGCGATCTACGCCCTATATAATGCGGATATTTAACAATACTCAGAGAGAGTCAGCATCGACACGTAAATCACTAATCCTCACGTAAAGCCGTACTGTACGCGTGTACGAGAGCTACACGACGATCGAATTTCGAGTAGCCGATGACCACGGCAAGAACGGGTGTCGCGAGGCGTGTGGCGACTGCGCGATGGCCGATGCGAGCTCTGCGACGGGTCGATAATCCGGAAATCCGCCGCACCAGCGGACACGATCTACTATCACTCTCAGCACATCTCGGGCATTCCCGCCTGCACTCAAGCGTGTCTTTGTCCGCACCCTCGCCGCGTGCCGGCGCCGCGTGCACCGGGGCGTCGGCCGTCGCGACTTGGGCTGACCGTCGTTATCTTCTAGTTCGTAGTTCTTGGACTTGGTCGCTGTTGGATAGCCGCCAGCCGCCCAATGCTTTGTGCCGCAGTCATCTTCTGGAGGACGCCTTGGTTCTGTGCACGAAACTGCCGGCCGAGAGAGGTGCCTTGGTAAACTCTTCCGCTTTCGATTCCGCTTTGGTTGGCAGGGCCTGGCCGTGATGGCCTGGCCGCCTGGATCATTGTACGAGCCGTTGCTCCATCAAAAGCTGCCGAGGGCAGTACAGATGGTGTTTCGGCAGGGGTGTCCACGCGTGAGCCAAGCACGTCGTTTGTCGGATGCTCGCACGATTTTCGGCAGCACGGACAGTGCGACGTCTCACTCAGCCATTGACGAATGCAGTCGTCATGGAAATCGTGGCCGCATCCGAGAGTGGTGGACTGACCGCAAAGAGGCTCGAGGCAAATGATGCATTCGGGTTCGTCCGCAGCTGTCGATGCCGGCTGTGACGGGCCTGGCAGCGAAGCGCTGGCCAAGCGCTTGCCCCAGGCCAGCATCGGACCGAGTCCTTGTGCAACGTGCGTCCTTGCTCCGCGCTCAGTTTGATTGTGTTACATTGTGAAATTCTTTTCTGATAAAATTATTTTCTGCTTCACGAAATCCCTGGCTTATGGGTGGGGACGTGTGAGGAGGGTGGTGGTAGTGTGTCGGAGGTAGAAGCGATGAATGAATGACCGATGTGGGACCAATCACGCATGAAGTCTGATACGACTCCGCGGAGCACACCCCGCCCGTGTCACAGCTGCAGAGGGCCCCGGGGGCGCTTTCGAGGCCCCACTCAGCCCTACCAAAACACGCCTTCAGAATGGTCCTCAAAACACGCCTTTAGAATGGTCCTGAGCGGCTCCCACGATCCCCCCAGCGCACCGGGACACAACGTGGAGCGACGACGGCTAGTGCTGGTCCCCGATTGCGAGGACGACCCCGGCTAGTCGCCGAGCACCACCACGACCGTCGGCCCGCGGACTCGGTTCTTCGCGGCCTGCGCCGGAGAGTTGGCGCTCGTGCGAGCTGGGTGTGGTACCGTAGAACTAGAAGCTAGAACGTGTATAGCTAATTAGCTAAAGTAATGCTAATGGTGAATTAGGGTCACTCCCTCTCCGTACACCGTAGGCGTACAGCCGTGTACTCCGAGCGAGTCCGACGTCCGAGGTACCGAGAAACTGACGGTAAACTTTCAAACAACTAAATTGCGAGAGCGTAGGTGTCACCTCGCGCCACCGCTAATCACGTGGTGATAGGAACGAGTGTATCGCTTTGACGGATCGACCGTACTTGTTATCAAGACTGATATGACGCACACAGTGACACATCAGACGACACATATTCTCCCACCCGCCGGGACGCAAAACGCTCTCGGCGAGAGCCACAAGAAGGCGTCCACACAGCAAGCCGCTCGTCGGACAGGCGTGCTCGCTCGATGCCGGCGAGCGCATTGCGCACGCTTTGAACGGTGGCGAAGCCAAAAACACCGATGGTGGCCGTCCGCTGGCGTGAGCGGCGGCGGTCGAGACCTCACCCTTCGCGCCGACGACCCAACCTTACGCGGAACAACCCAACCCCCAACCAACCCAACCCAACACCAAACAACCCCACTGTGCACTGAAAGCACGATTCTCCTGTTGGGCCCTCAGGACGATCCCGGCTAGTCGCCGACCACACCCACAAAGAACCCTGAAAGATCGCACGGTGTCGGTACGGGCGGGGACCTGTTCCTTTATTCAACCCACTTAAAAAAAACGCAGAGGCCAAAAAACCCACCCGCCGGGTCCGCCGCCGCGGCAATCCATCTCCGCTACCACACGACGAGCTCCGCCAAGCCGTAGAGTTTCCGATGGATAAAAAGTACCAAACGCTCGACAACACCATCTACGTCCAGACTCTCGCCAAGCGCATCTCGTACTCACGTGCTTACACGGCGTTTTACGTCTCGGTCATTCTCGCCGCGCTCGTGGAGGCTCGCAAGGGCGCGCGCAGTGCGGCCCAGGACGCTGCATGCCAGCAGCATCCGCTCCCGCGTCCGCAGGTGGTTTGGATCCTGCTCCTCGGCCTCTCAGACAGCAGCAGCACAGGTCGCCGGCTCCCCGTGTCTCCGCTCTTCACCGTCGTCGAGACCTACGTCACCGTGGGACTGCTCGCTGAGCTGGTGGTGCGCGGCGCCATGCAGCAGCGCGCTTTCTTCGCGCATCGCTCGAATTGGGCCGACATGGCCGTCGCGGGCATCTCGCTGCTCACCTCGGCGCTGCTGCTGCTCGGCCTCGAGACGCCGGCAGAGATGGTGCTGGCGGAGGCCTTGGTGTTTGGCCGCGTCGCCTTCCGCCTCATGCGGCTAGTCTCCATCTCGCAGGCACACCCAAGACGCCCCCATCGCCTCCACACAGCTCGCACCGAGGCCTCCCCTCCGCTGCATGCCGGTGCAGGCCTTCCGACAGCAGCAGGCAGCGGCGGGGCACAAGCTCGACCTCTCGGTGCACAACGGCGGCGACATCTACGGCGGAGGAGGGGACTTTTGCGCGGCGGACTACGGCATCAGTGCGGAGGAGGAGTGGTGGGCTGGCATCGGCGCGGGCGGCGGAGGCTACGCGCGCTGCGGCCGCGGCGGCGAACACAGTGGAGAGGGAGGAGGCTTGAACCTCGATGTCGTGTGAGACAGTACGCATGTGCCTGTTTCATGTGCATGCAACTACCGGAGAGCGGGAAGAGGTTGCGTTCGGCAGCAGCCTCCTCCCCTTTTCATTGCGCACACAGGGTCAGGGCGGGCGATGCCGAGGCCTAAAGAAAGAAAGAAAACACACACCCCAAGGGAGGGATGGGAGAACGGCACGCCGCCACCACACAGGGATGCCGAGGCCTGAGTGGCAGGCGCAGCGCGGGCTAATTCTTTTTCATTATCTGAACGCGACGGCGGCGCGTCGGAGTGGCGGCCGCCACTCGCGTGGTGCCAAAGAGGTTCTCCGGAACCCTTACGCGCACCACGGCGGCCGCCTTCAACTCCCCGAGCGGGGCCCTAGGACCAAGGGCGCGCTCGGCAAATTCCTGCGCTTTGCGCAGGGTCACAACCCCTGGGCTAGCTGGTGGCGTATACCCACCTCAAGGCCGGCGCGCACGCGCCGGCGATGGACAACGCCACCGGCTCAAGGGCTCGCACTCTCCTCACCACCGCGCGCGCGCTGCAGCAGGAGTACCGCATGCCGCACTGCGACATCATGCCGCGCTGCGACAAGATGCCGCAGCTGCACCGCTTCTCCTGGACAGCCATCGAGTACTCGATGGTCCACTCCGAGGGCACGGTCAGCACCGCGCCGGATCTCTTCTGAGAGCCGGCGCGGATCGCGGATGCGACTCAAGGCTCCGCCGGCGGATCTGTGGCCTGGCGCATGCCAGACTGCGGGTCCATAAGTACCCCGGCGCTCGCGCGCGCCACCGCCCCCGGCGCGGGGTGGGATATCAGTTCGTGAGTTCTGTGTCCCCGTCCCTGTGCTCCACCTTCTTCTCCCGTGTCGGTCCCTGAGAACCCCACTATACAGCGCCACCTCGTGAGCTGTCCTGTGAGCTGTGTGTTGTGCGTCCAGCAGTCCGGACCCAGTGCTACGGCCGGTGACAGCGTGCCTCGTGTCGGCTCCCGAGCCAATCGTGTGCAGCGTGTGTGTGCGTGTGGGCCCGTCCTCCATGCTAGGAGGTGTGTAAGACTGACTGACTGAACGCGACGGCTGCGAAGCGCTCACTGACAAGCAGACAACGCGCCACACGCAGCTCGATCCGTGCGTCCACTGCAAGCAACTCTTTCTATCGCAGGCATCGATGCAACACGACACCAAATACGACGAGGTCCTCCTGAACGTGGCTGGCCAGTGCGGCGGCATCGCGCCGCTCCTCGACACCTTCTTCTCTTTCCTCTACCGCAAGACCGACTTCTTTCACATCATGGCGGAAGGCTCGCAGCTTTACGCCTCTGCCGCGCACGGAGCACCACCTGTGACGCTGCGCTCTGGACGCACTTGCGACAGGCGAGAACATGGGCTTTCACGACGGTGTCGCTGAGAAGCTCGTGCTGCGCGCCTTTCGCAAGTACGAGGCTGCGTCGGCCATGGCGCGGCAGGAGAGGAGCGCGGCGGGCGCGGCGGCGGACGGCGAGAGGCTGCCGCCGGCGGCGGCGGCGGCGTCGAGCAGCTCGCCGCCTGAGCCATGCCCTGCCACACCGGCCGACGCCCCGGCAGACGCCGCTCCTCTGCCGCCTCCGGACTCTGCCAGCGAGGAGGCGCAGCTGGCCGCCGCGTCCGGGCCCGCGCCCACGAGCGCAGGCACGGCGACGGTGCCGCCCGGACCGCTGGCCCGGCCGCCGGAGGCTCCCTACAACGGAGGCCACACCGCACGGTACAGCTGGGAGCAGACGCTGCACGACGTCTCACTCCACGTGCGGACCGCTGCGGACGCCGTCGGTCCGCCATCCCCGGCAGACAGGGCAGACGTCCCCGGCACCGCCCGCGCCGCAGGTGCCTGTGCCGGCGGCGACGCGCGCGCGCGACGTGGTGTGCGTCATCAGTAAGCAGCGGCTGAGCGCGAGGCTGCGCGGCTCAGAGGTTAGGGTTAGGGTCAGGGTCAGGGTTAGGGTTAGGGTTAGGGTTAGCGCGAGGCTGCGCGGCTCAGAGGTGCGCGGGAGGGGCGCGGAGGAGGAGGGAGGAGAGGCGGGAGGAGAGGCTCCCAGCCGGCTCTCCGCTCCGCCACAGGAGGCGCTCGTCGAAGGGCGCTTCCCGTGCGACGCGCGCAACGGGCAGGAGGTGTGGGAGAGCGTCAAGGTGGGCTTGCTCGCTCGGCGAGATGTCGAGCCCGCGTCCAGGACACGTCCATGACGTGTCCATGACCTGTCCCGCAGGTCGACGAGTCGACTTGGTCGCTCGGCGAGTCTGCTGGAGGTGCTCTGCCCGCGCCTCCTGCCCGCGCCTCCTGCCCCCCGCCTCCTGCCCCCCGCCTCCTGCCCCCCGCCTCCTCGCTGCCTGCTCACGCCCCGCGCGCTGCCCGGCAGGCATGTGCCTGAGCGTGTACCTCGAGAAGTCTCGCGAGTCGTGGTGGGCGTCGGCACTCCACGGCGCAGCGCTAACACTCTCCCGCACGCACGCACACGCACAGGCACAGGCACAGGCACAGGCACAGGGACGCACACACGCACAAGGCCCCCTCCGAGGCACCCCTCCCCTCTTCCCTCTCTCAGGCGACGCAGAGATCGACACGACCAAGGTGGACTCGACGCGCTCGATGTACGAGTACGACGGCGAGACGCAGGGTGCGATCCGCAAGATCCTCTTCGACCAAGACCAGAAGCGGAAGGGACAGCCCACCTCGGACGAGATGCAAAACGAGGAGCTCCTCCGGCGCGCGTGGGACGCGGAGGGCTCGCCCTTTCGCGGCACGCCCTACGACCCGTCCAAAGTCAGCCTGTCCCAGGGTGGCAGTGAGACGTAAGCCCGTTCCCTCCGCGGCGGTGTTGCGTCAATGACACCGATGCAAGCCGATGGCCTTAACTCGCACGTATGGGCCGTACGAAATGTCAAGGCAGGGGGCGCGGTCATGGGCTTTCTTGCGGGGCGCGCGGCGAGTAGAAAGGGTGCCAGTGAAAAAAAAAAGGAGACACTTGCGGTGTGTTACTACTACTACGAGCGGTAGCGCACGTGCTCAAGGTGCGCGTGTGGTTTTTCGAGGAGCGCCCCAGGAGACCCAGGTGCCAGGACGCCAGGAGAGGATCGCGCAGTCCGCAGTGTGTGCCTTTTTTTGCACTTTTAATGCCGCGTCGCGCGTGGGGGGGCGGTCCCGCTCCGCGCTCCCCTCCACGGTGCGGCTGGGCTTTGGTCCGTTTACCCCACTCATAAGGCCCTTTTCTGCGCTACAATGTGCGCTCCGCGCCCCTAGCACCGCCCCGTCTCCCCCGCCGTGCCCGCGCCACATGTCACCTCGTACTCCCGCGCGCGGTTTCCCTGGTCCGCCTCCCCCCCGGCCACTCGGCTCTACGCGCCCGGCGGGCTCGGCCTCGCAACTATGCGTGTGCGGTGAGCCGCCCCACCGTCGGGCGCGATCGGCCTTTGCGGCGCACAGGATGGTACTTCCCGATTTATGTGGCGCATACCGCCCCCCCCCCAACCCTCAGCACCCTCATGGCAAGCACTACGCCAATTATTTAGTGACAGAAAAATCGGTATCTCACGGAATCCAACCAAAACCGCCGCAGGTCCGGGCGGGGCCGAAAACGGCTTTTGCTGCCAGACAGCTACAACGTCCAGAAGGTCATCGCGTGGCGGCAGAGAGCTGGGGGGATCGAGCTTCTGACCGCTTGGGAAGACTACGATGTCGATGGTTGGACGTGGGAGCCCCTCGACAACATCCCCCAGCGGTTTGTTCGGGCCTTTCATGCGCAGCGCGAACGTCTCCCGACATCCTTTTTCTACGTCGTGACCAGGATGCGCGACCGGATCGCCTTCAAGGTGATCGAGAGGACCGGCCCGATGTTTGGGCTTGCTGTCCTGGTCGAGGAGGCCTCCCTGCGCGAGTATGCGCTCGCGCTGCTGCAGTACTTCTCTACTCCTCCGAGCGGCACAAAGGCCAAGATCGCGGTCAAGGAGGACCACTGGCAGCGGGCGCACACACTCACCATCTTCTCGCAGGAGCACGCCGCGTGGATCGTGTCGCTGCACGAGTCGCGGCCTACCCACGGCGTCGGCGCGCTCCGCATCAGGGGCGCGCGACGCATGTCCAACATGCTGCTCGTCGCGTGCAATGCTCGCACGCCGATGCGCCTCTCCTTTGTGGAGCCGCGCGCAGGCGGCTCCGACGCGCCTGCCCCCGGCTCCTACAAGTTCACGGTCGAGTTCACCACCGTGGGCATCAACTCGGCGACGGGCGACATCATGCCGTACACCGCGCCGACGGACGAGCTGCGCCTCGAGATGGCAGAGGCGCACGCGCTGGTTGCGTACGCGAAGAAGACGCTCAAGCAGCCGTGGGCGGCGGAGCCTGTCCGGCACAGGCTGCGCGCTAGCGGCTGGTGCGACCAGCCGGTGGCGTTTCAGTAGAATCCGTACATACCGGCACAGTCTAGCACGCGTGTGTGCCCCCACCCACACACGCGCGTGGCCCCGCGCTGGTTCCCGCGCGGCACTTCATGCGGAGCTCCTGGCGTGAGTGCACACTGTCCCGGGCGTCCAGCTGAAGTCGTGCCACGCTTATGGTTGGTTTATTAAAGGTAATACTACACACAAACCGTCCCTGGGACTGCACAGGAGCCGGCGATAGGCGCGCGCGTGAGCAGCTGCTCGGAGCTGTGTTGTGTGTGTTCTCGCTCGAGTTCACCAGACAAGCCGAGCGTATCGTGCGAAGATGCTCGCGAAAACGCGCTGGAGCACCCAAAACGCGGAGCGCCCACGGCTGCTGTTCCGCACAGCGCGTTCGACGGCATGTTACGGCTAGAGGCGGGCGGTGGGGTGCAGCTCGCGTGCGGGTCGCTGTCACCGCCCTGCCGAGCCAAGCTGTCTGAGGTCGGCAGCGCGAGTTGGCTGGCGTCGCAGAGCGCCTTGCCGGCCGCGCACATCATATATGCTCGCACTTGGGGCGAAACAACCCGCTCCCAATACACAGTGCCGCGTAGAACTGCTCCGCCGCTTGATGGCCCATCCGGGCGCTGCGCCAGCAGGCAGCGACCTGCGGAAATGAGTGGCCGAGAGAGTCCGGTGCTCACCCGTGGCGTGTGCCTACTCACTCAGGCTTCACTCGGCCCAGATCTGGTATGAAAGGACCCGATTGGGGCTTGGCCGGAGCCGGGACGACTGTCAAACACGCTGCCATATAGCCGTGGTATTTTGGCCCTCTCGTTTCCGCACCGTGTCGGGCCCCAGCCCAGGCGGGCTCGAGTTGGCGTGTTTGTGCAGCCCCCCAGCCGCGTCCTGTCGTGTCGTTTCGACGTGGAGACGCGTGGGGAGGGCCGGCCCCGAGGGGTGTCGCGCCGCCCCTTGCGCCCCACGCACCAGCACCACCTCGCTGCGTGATAAGATAGGGGCGGTGCCACCAATCGTAGTCTCGGGGAGGCCGGGAGAGCCAGTCACACAACCATTCTCGCTACTCGCTCGGAAGCTCGATGAGCAGCGCCTCCTGCGCTCCGCCGAGCCCGGCGGCGGCGAGCGAGACCGCCGCCGCGCCGTCGCGGGCAAAGACGCGGCGCGGGAACTGCGCCGCGAGCTTGAAGGCGGGCGGCAGCGGCGCCGTGCCGGGCTGCTCGACCCAGCCCGCCTCTGCGAGGAGGAACGCGGCCTCGAGCGGCGCGTCGGGCTCGAGGCGGCGGACGCACCTGCGGGAGGACGCAAACGGCCTCTCGCGCAAGGGGGAGGGTGCAGGGCGGGCGCAAGGCGGGTGCAGGGCGGTGGGGTGCTGGCACGGCGGGGAGAGGCACCGGGACCCGTCGGGGCAACGGATCGAGAGCAAGACTCCGCCCGCCGAGAGCTCGGCGGGCAGTGCGGCCGCCGCCGCCTCTCTCCTCTCCTCCCGCTCCCGCCTCGCGGCTGCGGCCGCCTCCGCCTCCGCCGCCTCCACCGCCGCGGCTGCGGCCGCCTCCGCCTGCGCCTGCGCCGCCGCCGCCTCTCGCGCCGCCGCCTCCGCCTCCGCCGCCCTGCGCTCCGCCTCCGCCTTGGCGGCGACGTTTCGCTCCTCCTCGAGCGAGATGTCGATCTCCACCTATTCGCATCCGCAGCTGTGAAGGAGGTGACAGGTCCGCACGAGGGGGAGGAGGGATGTGTCGGCCTCGAGGTCCGTGTCGATGAGCGAGACGGCGGGCTCCGGCTGCAGCGCGAGCACGCGGAGCGCGTACCTATCTCGCGCCACCTCGGCTCACCTCGAGCCATCTCGGGTCATCTGCAGCGCCAGCACGCGGAAGCCCACCCTCCGCCGCTGCCCGCGGCCGAGCTGTCGCCGCCCGCCGCCCCGCCCGCCTCGGCGGCGAGGGATGCTCCGACGAGGATCGTGTCTCCGACGGAGAGGGTGGTGCGCCGCATCAGCTCCGACTCGAGCAGCGCCTTGACGTCCTCCACCTCGAGCCGGAACCGCTGCTCCACAGGCTGGAACCGCGCAAAGCTCCCTCGCGGCAGCCGGCGGTAGCGCACAGACACGTGCGCGCCGCCGCCGCCGACCGCGACAGGCAGCGGGGGGAGTAGACCAGATGCGTCGGAGGGCTCGCCCGGCGCGCCGCTTGCGGACGCGGCGTCGGCGTCGGAGGCGGCCGCAGGCGTGCTGGCGGCGGCGGCCGGCAGCATGTTCAAACCGCGCAGCAGCGGCTCCGGGAGGCCGATCGCACCCTCGGGGGCGCCAAAGTCGAGGAGGGTGGCGTGGGTCGCGGCTCCCGTCGCCGGCACCGAGATCTCAAAGGCTGCGACCCCGTTGTGCGATGCGTCAGACAGAGAGGCCGCCGCAGACGGAGGCAGCTGCGCCTTGTCGCACCTCCTGACGATGCCGCGCTCCTCGGCTGCGCGCGACAGGATCGGCCGCAGCTGCTCGCTGTAGTACACGCCGCGATTTCGTTCCAGATCCGCCGCTCGATGCTCCGCCTCCACCGCGGCTGCGGCTGCAGCGGCAGCCTCCTCTGCCGCCTTGGCTGCCTCGCGCCTCGCCGCAATCGCTCGGGTGGCCTCGCGCTCGGCGCGCAGCTTCTCGCGCTTGGAAGCCGCCTCCTTGGCGCGCGCGGAGGTGTCCTTGGCGAAGCGGCGGGCGGCCCTGTCGAGGTCGAGCTCCATCGGCGTCTGGAAGGGCAGATAAAGAATTTTGCTCGGGCACCAGCACGATAGGAAGACGCGTGGAGGGTTGTGTGTTTTCTTTCTTTCTTTTAGGAAGACGCGTTCGCCCCGCGACGGTGCGACTGAGCCTGCCGCGCTCGATCTGGGAGCCACTCGGCGCCAGTTCGAGCGGCGGTCGGCTCGGCCACTGCGGGTGCGACGCATGATAGAGCATGCTGGGCGCCGCATCGTGTACTACCGACCCACGCCAAGGCGCGGGGCGGTGGTGCTCGCCGGCGCTCGCGGTGCTTCGGTGCTCGAGTGCGCTCAACATTGTGGTCGTTCAGGGCGGCTCGCACAGCGCCCGCAGGCACGCACACACACACACACACACACACACACACACACACACACACACACACACACACACACACACACACACACACACACACACACACACACACACACAAACACACACACACACACACACACACACACACACACACACACACACACACACACACACACACACACACACACACACACACACACACACACACACACACACACACACACACACACACACACACAGCCCCTTCCCAAGGGCGAGGACACGCGCAGGGGCCGCACCTCTAGCGAAGCCCACAGAGTGGGAGACTCCTATCACCGCCCTGCCACCCACGTGAGCCTTTTGGCCGCCTCTGTCAGTGTGCCCGTGGTAGTGAGAGACTGCTGGTGAGAAGCCGGAGGAAGGTCGCTAGTCGAGAGAGATCGCCAGTGGAATAGGGAGTCCACCGTGCTGCGAGCCTGTCGCTGTCCCTTGTCAGGAGCAGGAGAACTAGGAGAGCGCAACCAGTAGGAGGCCCGCGCCTGCCCCCGTGCCGCCGGGTGCAACCTGTCCTATACGAGAGAGGAATCCCTGGGACCCTGTCGTGTGGGTGAACCCTGCCCAGCCCCCCTCCGTGTCGCGATGCGCTCCCCGCTCCCGTTCCCCTGTGTCCCTGATCGTCCTTACAAGATCCTGCTCGTGCAGGTGGCTGAGGGAGGGTGTAAGAGGATGTAGAGTGTAGAGCGCTGTAGAGCTGTAGAGATGTAGAGCGCTCTGGAGCGCTGTAGAGCAATGTAGAGCTGTAGAGCTCTACATCCACCGCGTGACGAACTGCCTCCGTTGTAGAGCGATGTAGAGGCGCTCTACAACGTGAAATCTCTACAACAAACTCTACATCATAAGCGGCGAACGATTATACAATTCAAATTCCCACACTTCTGCTTCCTTGTGGCTTCACGCCTCCCCAATGGCGGGGCCGACGCTAGAGCCCGTGCAACTCTCCATTCTTCACATCGTCTTGGAGGACTTCTCGCCCCTCGCTTCGCCGCTCTTCGCTGCGCCGAGTGCACCGCTTCCACCGGCAGGCGCAGCTGCATCCGCCACGGATGCACTGGCTGCCTCCGACCCGCACACGCCAAACCTCCAGCGTCTCGCTGCACGCGGTGTGCTGTTTCGCCGTGCCTACTGCCAGTCGCCCATCTGCAACCCTAGCCGCTCGTCGTTTATGACTGGTCGCCGCCCGTCGACGACACGGGTGCTCACCAACGAGGACGCGTTCAGGACAACAGTCCCCGCAGGGATCCCCACACTCGTCGACTTTCTGCGCGGTGCCGCACCGGAGGCATCCATCGCGTGCGCGAGCGGCTCGAAGCTCTTCCACATCGCATGCGACCACGATGCCATGGGTTTTGACGCGGCGCCGGTGACACTGCCAGCCGACTTGCCCACTGCAGTATCTGAAGCCGCCGCCTTTGTGCTGAGGCCTGCGGGCGCGTACAGCGCTGACAATTACCGGGCACGCGTAGCCATCGCGCGGTTGGTGAGCTATGCGCGTGCGAGCCGGCGATTCTACCTTGGAGTAGGACTTGTGGAAACGCACGTGACGCCGCGACCACGTGTGCGGGTGTGCCACGAGGAGGTGGTGCCCATCATCAGGAAGGCAGCGCATGCGCCCGCAGGACGATGGACCGAGCACCTCCCACCACTCGTGACGTGGACCAACTACGACTTCTGGCAGGCGGCCACGGCCGATGAGCAGCGGCGAGCCATCGGTACGTACTACGCGTGCGCCTCGCACGTCGACGGTACGGTGGGCGCTCTGCTTGGGGCGCTTGAGGTGCTCAACCTCACGCGCCGCACCGCAGTTGTTTTACACGGCGATCATGGCTTCTCTTTGGGGGGGCACGGCCGATGGAGCAAGTACAATCTGTACGACGAGACGGTGAGGGTCCCACTGATCATTGCTCTCCCAGGCCGAGCGCCGGCGGTGATCGATGAGCTGGTGGAGGCAGTTGACCTCCTACCCACCCTCCTAAGCATGTGGGGAGTCCCCCGCACCCCGACTCGCCCGTACAGACGATCCCGGGTCGCCTCAGGGGGCAGGGGAGGGGGCAGAGGAGGCAGTGGAGGCGGCGGTCGGGGGGTAGAAGATGTTCATAGCAGTGGTGATGCTCATGGCAGTGGAGGGGGCTTCCGACGAGGTGAAGGGCACATGTATCTTCTCACACGACCCTTGGCGAGTGGAAAAGAGGCGGAAGGTAGGTCTGAGCTCTGCCTGTGGTGGTGGTGCCTCTCAATCCTCCTAGCCGCCCCTCCCTTGGCGAACGCATGCATGTGAGCACCCTTCACAGCCGCCATATGCATATGTGCACCTCTCACAGCCGACGTATGCATATATACATCTGTGGGTGCGGGTGGGTGGGTAAATGGCTGGCTGTGCACACATGCCTTTGCACTGTGATGGCATGTGCGCGTGTGCAGTGCTGCGCAATTCTGCATGCCCACCCGTGAGAATGTCGGTTGCGCACAGGGACGTTTGTGACATTGGACGGCCGCTCCCTGTGGCCGTGGCTAATCAGAAGGTCGACGTCGAGCAGGCCGCAGCTCATGCAGCCACCCTCTACTCATTTGCAACCGCCACCACTCCCAATCCGCCATGAGCGACCAACCTCACGTGCTTGGCGCTACGTGCGGAGCGAACTACACCTGCCTTGCGGGCTTGGGTGTGCGATGCTCAACCAACCATACGATGGACGGCCGCCTGGCTTCACGCGCACGCCGACTGTCGGCCCCGTTGTGCAGCTGAGCGTCCGCACACGAGGCTGGGCGTATATTGGCACGTTTGTGGGGGTATTGCGTCTCACGTTGCGACATCCACAGCCTCCGAGCTCTGTCAGAGACAATGGTGCACGCAGAAGCATTGCCAACGACGGTGTCAACGACGGTGTCAACGACGGTGTCAACGACGGTGTCAACGACGGTGTCAACGACGTTGTCAACGACGGTGTCAACGACGGTGTCAACGACGGTGTCAACGACGGTGTCAACGATGGTGGTGATGTCAGTGGCGGAGCGGTCGAGGGGCTATCAGCACAGCCGCCATTGCGTTTGATTGATGAGGCTCTCTTTGATATGCATGCAGACCCTGGTGAGATGCGCAATCTCGCCTACTCTGACTCCGCTGCGGCGGTGCGATGGTGGCTGCTCCGGCTAGTGCTGCAAGAGTGGGATGTGACACTTGCGTCGTCGCCAAACGCGACACGATGGGAACGCGCCGAGTGGCTGCGCAAAGGAAAGCGGCGGAGTCGCAAGGTCCAGGGGTCGTTGTGCTTGTGGCGGGCCACCCCGCTCTCCACTCATCCAATCTCAAGTACACCCCCCAAAACTGGGTACCACATCGTCTGAAGGCGGCCACCGAACTGCAAGAATCTAATCGCGCCGCCGGCGCTGAAAATAAAGCATGGAACTCAGTCAGGTCCTGCGGCAAGAGAGCCCCGAGTTGTCCGCGTCACGCGCGTGTGGGTCGCCGTCAGGCGGCGGCCTCGGCTTTCGCCGCGGCCGGCGTCTCCGTGCCCGTGGCGGGGCTGAACCGCTTCATCGGCGTGATGCCGGTCGAGCGGTACGCCTCGTACTTTGCAAACTCGCACAGCGCCTGCTCGACGTCGATGGCCTGCGCGCACACCGGAGGGGAGGAAGCTCGGGAAGGGGGGGGGGGAGGGTGCAGGGCGGAGGGCTCCATCTCGGCTGCGTCCTTCGCCTGCATCCACTCGAGCCGATCCTCGCCGAGCCCCTCCCGCTCCGTGCGGCGCAGCCGCTCGCAGACCTGCTTGACGGCCTCCTCGTCGTCGGTGGGCAGCCCCTGCGGGGACGAGTCATGGACGTGTCATGGACGGGTGGGCAGCCCCTGCGGGGACAAGTCATGGACGGCGTCGTCGAAGTGCCGTGGACGTGCCGTGGACGTGCCGCGACATGCGTATCGCGGATGTGTCGCGGACGTGTCGCGGACGTGTCTCGCCTTGCGTGTCGGTTTGGTGCGTGGCGGGTGTGTGTGCGGCGGGAGGGAGGCGAGGAGAGTTCTCGGAAGTGTCTCGCTCCTCGTCGAGCTTCCGGACCAGCGCGAGGCCTTTGCCTGCCCGGCACACACGCACGGGGAGGGGTGGGCGGGGTGGCGACAGCTGCAAGCGGACGGTGGCAGAATCGATGTTGCCGCATGCAACGCAATCCGCGGGAGGCCGTGTGTGTGTGTGTGTGTGCCTGTGCCTGTGCCTGTGCCTGTGCGTGTGCCTGTGCTGCTGGGCAGGCGCGGCGAGCCGACCCGCCCACATGCATGCCGCTGCCGGCCGAGTGAAGCGCAGGAGGGCGGTGTGCTGCCGCGAGAGGCCTGAAGAGCTGCACCTCTGGAGGCTGCGGGCTGCTGCTGCATCGGCAGGCTGTGCGCATCTAGAGGGCCTTGCGGGCGCCGGGCCCGAGCCGGCAGCGGGAGAGTGCGTCCTCGCTGAAGACGCCCGGCACGTACGCGAGGTCCTAACACAGCACACCCCCACACGCTGGTACAATCTTCTGCGGCTTTCTAGGACGCCCGGCGCGGGCGAAGGCCTTGGCCGTCTCGTTGGCGGAGAACTGCGGCCGCGCGCCGAAAGTCATCGCCTCGGCCACAAAGTCGGACGCCTCGGCCATGTCGCCGAACGCGCCCTGCTCGCTCACGCGGTCCGCGACTGCCGCTCCGAGGGACGCGATCCGCGAGCCGACCTGCCGGCGGTTGAGCGTCATCTGGTAGGTGCCGACGCCGCACTTGATGTCGTTGCTCTCGAGCGCGGCCGCCAGCGCGCCGCCGCCCACGTCCTCGTCGATGAGCCGCGCCAGCCGCTGCGCCTCGCCGCGACGGCTGCCGGTGAAGCGCAGCGCAGCGGCGAGCATGACTTGCTGCGGCAGCTTCCAGGACGGCCGCTCGAGCTCGGTGAGCAGCTCGCGCGTCACCGCGTCATCCTTGCGATCGATGTTGCAGAAGCGGGCCTTTGCGAGGATCGGGTCGGACGTCCACTCGGACGCGTCGAGCCCGCGCCGCCGCCGCTGCAGCACGGCCTGCCGCTCGGCGACAAAGTCATAGAAGCCGAGACGCGGAGGAGCGTCGCCCTTGCCCTTCTTTTGCGGCGACGAGGAGGCGGCCTTGGAGGCGGATGGGCGCTTCATGCCAGGCACGTGTGCGCGTGTAAGCAGCCTGCTTTGCGCAGGCTGTCAGGCCACGAGCAAAGCAGGCCCGCACAGCTCGGCGGGTTCCGGCTCCGAGCGGTGAGGGGAAGTTCTCGCTGTGGCGCGCACAGTTCCGGAACGCCCTGCCTCTTTCCAGTGTTCTGAGAAAGTCTCAAGAACTCGGCGGGCGCTGGACACGTGTGGCCGAGGGGCTCCCCCGCAGTTACAGCGCGCGGCGTGGCCGCTCGCTCTTCCGTTCGGGTAAGGTCTAAGTAAGGAAGGACGGGTTCGAGTCGTCAATCAAACATTAAGCAGCGGAGGTGTGCCGAGGGGGACCGGGAGGCGGTAAGCCGCCGTCGGGCGTCGCCCGGCGCTGCTTGCAGCACCATGCATGGCGATGGGCGCTAATAGCGTGCGCCCTGCCCCCCCCCCACCCGCCGCCAGGCGCCAAAAAATGGCGCGATAGTGAGGTGTGCAGGCCTGTAGGAGCCCGCGGCGGACATTTCAGTCACCCCCACCGAGCCCTAAGATGCCGACGAAGTCGAAGACCAAGGCCAAGCCGAAGGCCACGGCCGACACGCCCGCGTGCGTGATCTGCATGAACGTTCCGCCCGCCGGCCAAGGCGCACACCACTGCAGCACTTGCACCGCCGGATCGTGGGTGGTTTGCGCCGGCTGCGAGGAGGCAATCAAGGGCAAGAAGTGCCCCATATGCAGGGGCGACTACATGCGCGAGGCGGCCTCCGGATGGGATGCGCTGCCGACCAGCACGACGACTCTGGAGCTCGACGAGCAGCCCACGCAGGACGAGCTGAAGCGCATTTCCGCCCGATTCCCGCAGCTGGAACAGCTGATGATCGGGCCGGAGTGTGAGTACTCCGACGAGCCCGAAGAGCAGCTCGACTTCGCCGCCGATGGCGTGCACTTTCCCGAGCTCACTAGACTGCAGCTCACGTGCGTCGGGCTGCGGAGCATCTCCTTCACCGAGCAGAACACGCCGCGGCTCGAACATCTCGAGCTGTCCAACGTCCAAGGCGAGTGCTGCCCCTTCCACCTGGCACTGCCGCGGCTCCGCGTCCTCGATGCGGAGCACACGATGCTCGGTGAGCGGCACATCGACGCGGGCCAGTTTGGCCTCTCGCTCAGCCGCTGCCCCCGCCTCGAGGTCGTCACCAGCTACAAGTTCCGCTGCCTGGGCGATTGCAACTACGCTGTGCTGCCGTCGCTCACCTCGCTGCGGCTGCACCGCTCCGAGTGCACGAGCCACCTTGACATCCTCTACGCGCCCAAGCTGCGCGAGGTCTCGCTGCAGGCAGCGTACGAACTGCGCGCCTTCAAGCTGCGCAACCTGCCGAGCGCGAGCGTGGCGACTGTCGAGGCACTGCTCGCGACGAAGCTCGCAGCGGAGGAGGCGGCGCGCGAGGAGGCGCGGGCCGAGGACAGGCGCTGGCGCGACCAGACGAACGTCAAAGCCCTGACCAAGGAGGCGCGCCGACGCGGATGGATCGAGAAGGGCGAGAAGTGGCAAGTGGCCGCCGAGCCGCCCAGCGGCGGCGGCGATTTCGTCTTCGAAGCTGGCGACGACATGAGCGACATGATGGACGAGTTCGACGCGTATGAAGAGGTGCTGCAGGAGCACGTGTCGGAGCTTTACCAGAAGAAGGCGGACGGCGCGACGGAGGCGGCGGAGGCGGAGCTCCTCGGCGCATCGGTGGCAGACGCAAGCCTTCCACGCGTGACGATCGACGCCACCAACATGGACGGGTTCCGTCTGAGCTCGCTCGAGCCTCAGGTGCGAAGCCGCTGCAAGGTCCGCAAGGCGGCTGGCGGCGACTGGGGCTTTGGCGGCAGCCCTTACGGCTCTGAGGAGGAGGGCGAGGAGGAGGGCGACGAGGAGGACGACGAGGACGACGAGGACGAGGATGGCGAGGGTGGGGTGCACGGCTTCATGCGAGAGATGATGGCGACGGGGATGATGGGAGGGATGGGCTTCGTGCCAGGCTTCATGCCGGGTATGATCCCGGGGCGGATGGGGTCGAGTGGGCCCCCTCCCGACGTGCTGCAGCGCCTCACGGCTGGCCTTCCTCCCGGCGTGAGGGTGAACGTGCAGGGCGGCCGCTCGTTTACCACCGGAGGAGGCGCCGCCCCCGCGCCAGCAAGCGGTCCCATGCCGCGCCGCGAACCGCAGCCGCAGCCGCGCCGCAGCCGAGGCAGCACCCGGCCAAAACGTGGGCGCAGCTCGGCCGTCCCCTCGTCGCTCGAGGCGGCGTATCACTACTGAGCTTGCGCTTTCACCTGCCCCATCCACGCAGCGAACAGGTCGCGGGGGTCCCTTTCCCGTCGACAGTGTGATATGCGACGCATGTCTGAACGTCTAATCGTCATCATTGAATCAATGTCATTGTGCAGACCCGCACTACACTACGACGGCTAGGCAGACCTCACCAGTCCGATAAGGATCAACTGGAAGGTTGAACCTCGAGCTTAGACAGAACGGGCGCGACAGACTCCAGGGGAGATCGCGCTCTACTCGGGGCACCAAGGAGGAAAACCGAAACCGTTTGGGTGCCCCACAACAACCCAAACGCCACAACCTAAGCGCCACACCTCCCCCCCACGTCCCCCCCCCCTTGGGGACGTAGCGCACGCCCTTGCTCGGAGAGAGTGGGGGGGGAGGGGGGGTGGGGGAATAGGAGGAGCCAACGAGCTCGGAGTAAGGTCCACAGTAGAGAGGCCGGCATTTAAGGCGTAACTTCACCCTCGCTCACCTCGAGTATATCTAGGCGCCCTGGTGCAGTCGGTCTTCGGATCAGCGGCCAGCTTCCCATCTAGGGCAGGGAACCCCCAGCGACGCTAGTGTGGCCTACGGTAGCCATAGCTTGTACGCGATCCCGGGGCAGGGGGGTGTGGACTCTGGAGCTCCAAGAGAGGATCGAGAGAGGAAGGGAGATTGGTGTGCCGGTTTTTTGAGCTAGCATTTTTTTTTTTTTTTTTTTGCAGACCCGCCGTCGGTGAGCCGTGTGTAGGGGAGCCGCGTGTGCAAGATAAACATATAACATATCACATTCTCGGCTTTCTTGGTTCCTCGCTGTGAGCCCGGCCCCGGGACGCAAGGAGCTCGCGCGTCGCGGCACACGAGTCACGCACGCGACACGGCCGGATCCCTCACGACCCACACCGCGTTCTCTCCTCTCTCTTTCCCCCACCGGTCGTCGCCCGCTTTCCAACCGCACAATCCTGCCCCGCGCGGTCACCGCCCAAGCGCGCCCGTCGCACCTCGCTGCGTCCCACGCACAGGGAAGCCGGTGGCTGGCCTCAAGGTCCGTCGTGCTCGCCGTTGCTCCCGCAAAAGAGCAGCAACTTGTTCTGAAGGTACGAGAGCAGCGACTCGCACTCGAGCCCTATTGACACGTCGATGCTGAGGGACGCTCCCCGCCGCCCGCGAGGCCTCACCCGCCCACTAGCGCGCGCCAAAGTAGTCGTACGTGCCGCGGATCCGCTGGACGTGCGACTTGAGCAGCCCGAGCGAGGGCCGTAGCGCGTCGAACGAGGAGGCGGCGCCGGCGGCGCTGGAGCGGGCGCTGGCGAGGTGGCTCGAGACAGCGAGGTCGAGGAGGAGGAGCGAAGCGTGCAGCTCCGCGGTGTGGCTCGCCTGGGCATGCGGGGACGGGCTGGCGCGCCCGATGCCACTGGAGAGGGCGGGGAGGGAGGGCGAGGAGGGAGGGCGAGGAGGGAGGGCGAGGAGGGAGGAGGGGAGGGGAGGGGGGGGGAGGGGGAGGGGCGAGTGGAAGGGAGGAGAGAGGGGAGGGGCGAGAGGGGAGGGGAGTGGCCCACCCATTTGCGGTGCTCGCGGCCCACGCTGCCGACGAGCGATTGCAGCTCGGACAGGAGGGCCGCCGCGCCGGCAGACTCAGACCCGCCATCGGCAGACCCGCCATCGGCAGAGACGCCATCGGCAGAGACGCCATCGGCAGAGACGCCATTGGCAGAGACGCCATTGGCAGACCCACCTCCCGCGGAGTCGGCCTCAACCGCGCCAGGCGGGACAGGCGCGGCGTGGTGGCGCTCGACCACCATCCGGAGGGCGGCGAGCGAAGCGGATGCCTGGAGCGCGGCTCCGGCGTGGCCGGGAGGCAGCAGCTGGCAGAGCCGGAGGAGGGAGGAGCAGGGGAGGTCGGAGGCGAAGGCGCGCAGCACGTACCCGCCGCGACCGAGGAGCGGGCTGGCGGCCCCGTCGGGCGACGGCCCGATCAGCGCGCTGATGGCGTCCTGGAGGGCGGACAGGTCGACCGCGGGTGATCTCGGGCAACCTCGGGTGAGCTCGCGTGACCTCGCGTGATCTCGCGTGATCTCGCGTGGCGGACGCCTGGAGGGCGGGCAGCGCGGGCGCGGCGTGCGGCTCGACGAGGAGTCGCCTTGTGGTACACGTCCAGGGACGCGTCATGGACGTGCCGCGGGAGGGGATCGAGGGCGGCTCGACGACGAGGGCGCCACAGCAGCGCCAGGGCCCAGTCCTGGCTGCTGAGCAGCTGCGTGCGCCAGTGCGGAGTGGCGAAGGGGAGCGCGTCGAGGAGGGCGAGGAGATTGAGGCGCAGGTCCGCCTCGCTCGCCTCGCCCGCACCGCCCGCACCGCCGAGCAGCGCCTCTGCGCCCTCCTACGCAACCAACAGTGAGCCATGAATGATGGAGGAATGCGCACCGCCGGCCGGCCTCTATGCGCACGCCTCGAGGCCGCCGCCGCCGAGCGCGTCTGGGTCGGCTCCCCACAGAACGAGCGCGGAGGCGACGTCGTCGGGAGAGGGGACCCAGCGCGGTGCCGCGCACTGCAGCAGGGACCCGAGGGCGGTCGAGGCGGCCGCGCACCGGTCGGCGTCGGCGTCGAAGCAAGTCGTGAAGAAGAGCCACCGCAACAGCTCCGCGCTCGCGGCCGCTCCTCCTCCGCCGTCCGCCGCGCCCGTCGGCTCCGCGCGGCGGCCGAAGCGCGAGCCGATCCACCCTCCCAGGAGCAGCTCCTCCGCCTCCGGGTCAGACGGCGCGCGGCCCTCGAGCCGGCGCAGCATCTCTTCCCCTGCCGCCACTTCCCCTGCCGCCACGCCGTCCTCCCATGCCGCTGAGCCGCCCGCCTCAAAGCGCGGCGGGGCCGGGACGCGCGGAGGCTTGGTGAACAGCCGAGCTGCACGCTCGTCGCTTTTGCCGCCGCCGCCGCCGCCGGATGGTGTGCGCGGCGCCGCGGCGGCAGCGGCGGCGGCGGCCGCCTGCTCCTCCTTTTCACGCTCCCGCTCGCCATTCCTGCGCTCGATCTCGGCGGCCGCCTCCTCGCCCTTGGCGATGTTTTCTTTGCGCTGCGGACGGAGAGACGGCGCGGGTGTGGACAGGGCGGGGGCTGGGGAGCAACTTGCACTGGCGCTGCGCGCCTTTTTGTTGTCGCGCAGCAGCTTGTCGATATTGAGGCCACCGGCGCGTGAGGTGCCGGCGCTGATGGATGTCGAGCGCTTCGGCGCCGCCGCCCTCGCCGGGCTGAGCAGGTCCTCGGAGTCTGACATAAATGCCGAGCGAGCTGCTTTCCCACGTCCTTCGCGCCAGAACCCGCCCCAGGGTTCCGGCTCCTAGCCAGACAAGGGGTCTTGCCCCATGACTCGCGCCAAAACGCCCTACCTACCTACCTACCCCCAGGCCGCGCAGCGAAGCGAAAAAAGACGAAAATAGGGGGTACCTACCTGTTGCAGGGCCCTCTGGGGCGGTCAAAACCGGACCTACCTACCTATCTATTGCATAGGGTGTCACCGTGGTAAACAGACCCCCTCTCTGGAGGAGCCGGAACCCAGAACCTCCTCGAGTCCCAAGAAAACGAAATTAGCGGTGCGATGCACTGCGAGCGGGGCGGGGTGCGCGCTGTGCCTCTGTGTTCGTGCGTCGCCCATCTCTCCTGGAAATGCCTGCTATCGCGGCACAAACGGGGCACAACACATTTGCCTTGCCTCAATGCCCCGCGGGAGCCCATGCTTTGTTTTGTCTTTCTTGGGCAGCAGCTTACCCGTACAGTGGGTTGCGGGCATTAAGAAAACAGGATCCCGCGCCACGCCGCCGTTTCCAATCTTTTCCACAGCCCCCATCCACCCCACGCCGTGGTTCTTAGCTCCGGCCGGGGCACTCAAGCCAGAGCGCCGGCCCGAAGGATTTTTAGGTAAGAGGTAAGCTGCGGTCCGCGAGGGCGATGCCAGAGTCTGCCGCCGAGTCGGCTCTCTGTCTGGATGACGGGAAGACGCACACACGCCTCCATTCACCCCATCCACGCAGAACACCGCAGACTTGGAAAGTGACAAGTGCGCGCGCCGCAGGCGAAGAGAAATTTTGAGCTGGGCCTCCCGTTCACACTCGTGTGTGGCCTTTTCTCGGGGCCGCGCCTGCGGCGCGCCGTGGTTTCTTATATTTTCGCGGAAATCGCTCGGCGTGGTTTCTTAATGGTACGTTTTCTTAATGCCCGCAACCCACTCACTGTAGCTGGTTCGACAGGTCCTTCTTGAGAAACAGCGCCGCACATTACCTGTATCAGAGCACCGGGAATAGTGGAGGCTGGGTGTACCAGTCATGCGAGGGAGCACTTGGAGCACTTGGAGCACTTGGAGCACTTGGAGCACTTCGAGCTTTATTTCAAATTCATCATTAACAGCCTTGTTATTGAGAAGAAAATACGTCCTATGTTCACATCGACCTTCGCATGTTCTAAATGCGCGGCTCGGGTTATTGGCTTGCTTGCTGGGTGGCTTCGGTGGCGGTGGTTGCTGCGGCGGATCCCCCCCCGCTGCCCGACAAGAACAGGGAGGAGTCAGCGCGCAGCAGGCTGGCAGTCATGGGTTGGTGGTGCGCCAAGCCAGGGATGCTCGATACCGCGCCGTGCGAAAACTTCAAGTTTCTTACGCTGCTGAAGCAGGCGGCAACGCATGATGAGAAGAAGGCGATTGTGGTCAAGAGGTTGGAGGCTAGGCGCGCGCGGCGCCGGGACAAGGCTGCCGTAGCACTTGCCCGCACGGAGTACGTGAAGATGTACAAGTTGTACTGCACAGAAGTGATGGCAAAGGTTGTGGAGCTTCCTCTGATTTGCAAACAAAAAATGCGGCTGCTTGGGCTGAACCTGACGGATACAGCCAAAACCAGCACAAAAAGCGCGAGCTGATGCATGGAGGGCTCACCCGATCCTCAACGCAATGCTGCACACGCGTCTCGCGTGTAACCGATCCTCGTGTGTGCGTGTAATCGATGCGCGTGATCGAGGAGAAGACCACTGACGTCTGAACTCACGGTCAGTCGGCCACTTGGGTCACGCACGAGCGACTTAAGGGCACGCACGTGCGGGCGCAGAGGCTGACTACTGACGCAAACGCGGTCGCGCGCTGCGACCTGCGAGGGGCGCTGGGCTCGGGGCTCATTTTCTTTTCGGATCTGTTTTGATGGATCTGATGTGCGCTCGTTTAGCGTTGTAGGTAGGGAAATTTAAGCCCCCCTTGCTCCTTTTTATCCATCTCCTGTAGTAAAGTATTATCTGCGCAGTCGGAGTGGCACTGGCGTGCTGAATCGTCTGTGCCCAGAGGCGCCGGATTGCGCCCGCCCAGAAGCTTGCCCACACGCGCCACAAGAGCGCTCTGCACTGTGCCGCCTCCTCGACGGATCGAGAGGCTACCGATGTGGGGGCAGAGGTCGGCGACAGCAGTTCTGCCCTCGCATCGTCGTGGGCACGCTGCACACGGCTGACCACTCGGCTGATTTGTGAGCAGAGCCCCAACGATGTGCCGTCGGCAGCAGACAGCGCCGCAGCAGGCGGCGTCGCAAGCGCCGCGAGCGAGCAGGCTGGCCAGTCAAATCACCGCACCGCACTGCCGCGCGCCTGCGTCTCGACCTCTGCTCCTGCAGGCTGCTCCTGCAGGCTGCTCCTGCAGGTTGCTTCTGCAGGCTGCTTCTGCAGGCAGAAGCCCCCTGATCGAGGAGGACTCGAGGGGAGGCGGGAGAGAGAGGCGGGCGCGGAAGAGGGCCGAGGAGCGCCGCAGAGCTCACATCGCCGCTGCCGCCGGCACAGCGTAAACGTAGAGCCAGCGGTCGTCGCCGCCGTCGTCGATGTGATTGTGCATGAAGGCGGTTGCGCTGCCGGTGAGGGCGTGCGAGGTGGAGTCTCCGAAGAGCTCGGTGGCGGCGTCAAAGTAGGCTAGGTCCTCCACGATCGCACACCGAAACTCGTACGCCAGCAGCACCTTGGCCCCGGGCAGCGCCAGCGCTCTCTGCGTGGCTGCCAGAGCGGTGAGGACGTCGGCAGACTGCTGGTAGACAACCTCGCAGCAGAGGACGATGTCGAAGCCGCCGCCGCCGCGCAGCAGGTCGGCGAGGTGGTCCGCGTCGCCCCACGTGCACGGGGCCACCGTCACCGCGCCCTTTTGCCGGCTGAGCGCCGCATTCCTTCGGATCAGCTCGAGAGCGTCGGGCATGTCGGTGAGCGTCACCGAGGCTGCCCCGAGCGCGGCGCAGACGAGCCCGACGACACCCGTCCCGGATCCCAGTTCCACGACGCGCTTTCCGGCGACCACCTCCGGGTGCTCGCACAGCCAGTTGGAGAGCACCAGCGCCGTCGGCCAAAGGCGGGCAAAGGTGCCGTCTGCGTCCATGACCTCCGGCCCAGCATCCGGAAGGTGCTCGAGCTCAATCGGCGCGCTGAGGGCCGCGTGCTCAAACCGGATGGTGGGCGCGGTGATGAAGTGCGCCATTGGCGTGCGAGCAGGGCGGGGCGTTCTGTTTTCTCTTTTGAGCTTAGCCTTCGATGTTATGAAAACACGCAAGGCGGACATGGCATATCGCTCTCGGGCTCACAGACATCCCTCACACCCGCCGCCCCCGCGCGCGCCCCACCCCGGCCGGGAGAAAGGGGAGTGACAGTTTGGGATGGCAACAGCCCGAGTATGTTGAGTCCTGGCTCAACAACGCAGAGAACAAGAGGGGGTGGTCCGGCTCACAAGTCCGGCTCACGCGCCTCGAGCTGACCCTCTACCGCACTGATCACTTCCGCCCCCTCGCTCCCAACCCATCCACCTCGCCTCGGGCCGCGCGATCTCGGGCGATCTCGCGCGATCTCGGGCGATCTCGGAGCTCCACGCCACGCCTCTCCACCCCACCCCGCCTCACCCACCGCCGCGCCGCGCTATCTCGGGCGATCTCGGAGCGTCGCTCGCGCGGCGTCACACCTGCTCAAAAAGGAAGGAGGTTGGAGGCAGGAGGTCACGCCCCATCCAGAGCGCCGTCGTCGCCGGGTTTTTGGCCCCCGGGTCGTCGCCCGACGGTTGCTGCGCGGGGCAGCAGACCATCGGACGGCGCGACGACGCCCCGTCCGGCACGCTCCCCCCTCCACTCGGCTATTGCCGCACGAGCGCCCTCAGCGGCGGAATTTTTCCCTCGCGCTTCCTTGGGCCCCCGGCAACGCCGACGGACTTCCCGTCCCCCCACCTGCGCCGCAATCACCGCCGTGATTGTCGGCGCTGCGCCCCTTGGCGCCTTTGCATGTCCCGCGTGCCCGCCCGCCAAGGCTGGTGCCAAGGCCAACTCAACTGCCAAGGCTGGTGCCAGGGCCAAATCAACTGCCTGGCTGGTGCCAAGACTCAAAGGCTCTCCTCTCTCTCTCTCCTCCCTCTCCACTCTCTCAACTTTCTCCCTCTCTCTCCCCTGAGACTCTCTCTGCTCGCTCCGCCCTCTCTCTCCCTCCCTCCCTCTCTCCCTCTCACCCCCCCCTCTTCTCTCCTCTCCCCCTCCTCCTCTCCCCTCTCTCCTCCTCTCTCCTCTCCTCTCCTCCTCTCTCCTCTCCTCTCCTCTCCTCTTCTCATCCTCTCCCCTCTCCTCCTCTCCTCTCTCCCCCCCTCCCTCCCCCAGCAGCTTCCTCGAGGCCGAACAGGTAGACCCTCCCTGATCGCTAAGCTACCACAGGGGACGGCCAGGTAGTAGACGTCGTCCGCCGCCGCCTCCGCCACCCGCGTGCCTCCGCCCCGCGCAGCAAAAAATCAGCATTATATCAGGAGGTGCCAAAGCAGCAGCATCTCCATGAGGTGAGCGTCGTGCGTTTTGCCGCCGCGTGCCGCCGCTGCGCCGACTGGCTGCCGGTTCGAATCGTCCTTCGCGGAGCGAACGCGGCGACACGAGCGCACGTCGCGCGCGTGCGCGCCCGCGACAAGACGAGACGAGAAGAGAAGAGAAGGAGAAGTTGAGGCGTTGATGTTTTTGCTGCCGCGGCCGCGCCGCGAGCTCGCGTCTGCTTTGGCGCCGACGAAGCGACGCGTCCCGCTGCGTGCGATGGCGCCGCCGCGGAGTCGGCGCCGCGATCAACCGCGCGCCAGCGGCGAGCGGCTTTCTCTTTTTGCTTTCGTAGAATTCTCTTTTTGCGGTGTGTCCGTTTTATTTTTTGCCGGAGAGTGGAGAGTTGGCGTTCACGCGCTGAATCATCATCGTCATCGCTCTGTCTGTGGTGCTGCTTCTCGCGTGCGTCCTTGGCACTTGTGCCCGCCTCCTTCACCTACGAGCTCGTATGCCACGTCGCCGCCTGTGTTTGGGTTTCTATCTATGTTTGCGATTTGGGTTTTGGCTTTTCTTGATTCTTTGTTTATTTATTAGCTACCCGGCCCTGGATGCGCGGTTGCTGACTGCACTCCAAGTGCTCCAAGTGCTCCAGGGCGAGCCTACACACATACGCTTGACCCTGTCGTGTGGTGTACCCTGCCCAGCCCCTCTCCGTGTCGCGATGCGCCCCCCCTCCCTCCGCCTCCCTCCCCACCACCCGTTCCGAGTTCCCTGGTGCTGCATTGTGTGTGTACACGCTGTGATTTGTGAGCTATAAGCTGTGAGCTATCACCAGCTAACGTAAGAGGGTCCGCCCGCGCAGGGCGCACCGCCGCGCAGGCGGCCTCCTGGCTCCTGCTAGGCGCATTTTAAATTTTATCGTTGTACCGAGCCGGTGCGGCCCGGTGCCGAGCGCAGGCGGTGCCCATGTCCATGTACCGGTCGCGGCGGACCTCACGACAGCATTACATCCCTGGGCGACACGCCTTGACGCGACAGGTGTGGTGCGAGGAGGCAGGAGCCCTATCCCCCAATATAATAAATAAATAACACAAAAACGGACACCTCTTCCGCTTCCTCTACTAGGAGATGGGTAAAAAGATCGGTGTCGCTGCTCATCGGGCTCATCGCAAACGCCGCGGCCTGTAGCAATCCACCTCGGCACCTCCGGGTGTTCGTAAGAGCCACATACCGCGACTGAAAAGGTGTCGGTCGCAGGTAGAAGCCAGTACTCGACAACAAAGGTCCGATCTCAGAGAGAGCCTCCGTAAACGGCGACGCATCGAGACAACACGGAGGCGGCTTCCCGCACGCCGCCGCCCGATACGATCCGCCCGGGCGCGGCCCGCCAGCCGCCATTCGGCTGCCCACCGGAGTCAGAGCAGGCTGATGGCGTCGTCGAGGTCGCACTCCTCCGCCTCAGCCGCCGGAGGGTCGACGCACTTGATGATGCGCTTGCCGCCCGAGCGCGACACCTTTACCGACTCGCCCTCATCACAGAGGCTGAGCCGCCGGAGGGGCCTGCGCCGTGGCAGAAGCCGCCGCACCGCCGAGCCGCCGATCGCGCAGTAGTCCAATGTGCAGCGCAGGCGACCAGAGAGCCAGCGCGAGAGACGTCCGACTGGCGGCACGCTTTTGCCAATGATGGCGGACGAGGCTCTGCGCTCGCTGCTCGCGGCGCCGCGGGACGGCGAGCCAATGATGGCGGAGGCAGACCGGGTCCGAATGGCAGCAGATCGCTCGCTGCCGACAGGTGCCACCAGCGAGCGAGCGGCTGCTCCTACGTGCGGTCTCGAGAGCGACCTGCCCCTTGGCAGAGGTAGTGCCGTCGCCGCGCTAGCGAGCAGCAAGACGGAGGCAGGCCACAGATGCCAACTCATCACTCCAATTGCCGCCGGCGCCCCGCTTTCTTTTTCTTTTTCCCTGTGTACCGAAAAAGTGATCCCCTGGAACACCCGTACTCTCCCGCGCCATCTCCGTCGCCCTCTTCGGCTGCGGCCTTACCACCAAGATCGGGAGGCGGCCAGGGCTCATAGACTCGGTCGAGAGACCCCAGATTGGCATCCATGCCTCTCTGGACAGGGTGGCCCGCCACAACGACCCCTGGAATTGCGACTCGCCGCTTTCCTCCCGCTGTGATTCTGTGTGAGCTCTGTGTCTTGATTTGCCAACAATATACCTACAACGAAAAAGTGTGCTGCATGGGGCCGGCGCCGGCAGCGCTTCGCCCGTGCTGTTTACGACTGCGACACGCGTGTCGGCTCGCCGCCCCGCGGCGGCGGGCGGCGCGAGGCGGCGGCGCGGCGAGGCAGCGGGCGACGCAGGGCGGGGCGGCGCGGCGGCGGGTGGGGCAGTGGTCGCGCCGCCCTCGACTCAAGGGGCTGCCTTCCACGCTGCTCAGGCCGGGGGGGAGAAGATCTCCTGTTCCGCGGAACGCGAGCAGGCCCCTCCTTGCCCGGTCTGCGATGCAGGGCGGTGGTCGTGGCTGCCATCGGCGCTTCGTACACACACCCACCCCGCCGCAACCGTCGCCGGCGCGCGACACGTTCCCGTGAGCCGGACTGTCCTCGTCGAGTGTGTGCCGCCAAGGCGGGACGCACTCAGGGACAGCGCCGACGGGACGCGGCTCGAGGGGCGGCTCCCGTGGCAACCGTGGCGCGGGGCTCGTCTTCGACAAGTCGGGTATGGCTCCGCCCGCAACTCTCTCGCTGACACGCGCGCCCCGTCGACCTCACGACGGGCGCGCTGCGGCCTGCGGTCGCACACGTCCCAAGTTTCTTACATGCCACGGCGTTCGACCTAGATCAGCACACACGCGCCTCTGCTCGCATACACTCATACAATGAACTGACACCGCCCATGAGTGCGAGTTAGGGCTAGCAGTAGGCCGCTAGCCTGTGAGGGAGCGTCCATAGACGCCTCACAAGACCCCACACACAGTCTCGTCCATGCCCTTGCGGCCGGCGTGATTGCTAGAGGCGGAGCGAGCCTGCTCTAGAGCTCGCACGTTACTCCCTGTCGTCTGTTGTGTTGTTGTGCCCTTGTTTGTGTCCTTGGCACCGTGTGTGCTGGGGGGGGGGCGGGGGCGACAGGGAGGACGTGGCCCTGAGTTATGTGTACGCCTACTCAGGGTGTGTGGCAGCAAGCTGGCTGTGTGAGTCTTGTGAGCCTGTTTTGTGTCTGTGTGTCGCTCGCGCGTGTCGTCATCATCTGTCTAGGAAG